ATTGGAAAAGGCAAAAGCTTCCAAGTGGCGAATTGCTTCTCTGGAAATACACTGTCGGGCTGGAACTAGGGATGTGCCTGCATCATTCTTGAGCCCATATTTGCCAGGCACTGTACTAAGTGCTTCTGATACAGTGAAGAGCTGTTGTGTTTCTCAGAGGTGTCCTCAGCATGGACTGGAATCTGGAAATCCGTAAGATTGGTTTCCAGGGAATCCTCCCTTGGAAGAGCACAGGCTGGGGGGATGGTTGTATTTGCATAATTGAAGGGTCTATTGAGAAAGAAAAATTTAACTCACTGTTTCTCCAGAGGACTGGAAACTGAAGCCATGGTCTGTGTTTCAGGGAAGTTGTTTCTGACTCGATTGGCTAGAGCACTACGGAATAGCTAGAGAGAGCTCTTTGGTAGAAGGAAAGGTTCCCCTGGGAGAAGGAACTTCCTGTCAACAGACTAGGAGAGAACAGGCATTGAAATGTTGCAGGAGGGACTTTTGTGTCAAGAGAAACGTTAGGCTAGTTGGCTCTAATGCTTTTTTACCTTTTAATATTTTATTATTCTTTGAATTGGTGAACTATATTTAACTTCTTTGCTGTAACTGCTTATATATTTATTGAGTCATGAGTCTCTGGATTACCAACTTCAGTGTACTCACTGACCTCTGTTTCCCCTGTCGTCATCCCACACAGGCCCTCACTGCTTCCCACCTAACACTGCAATGACCTGGAAGGGCTTATCTGAGTAAACTTTCCTCCATTCCAGTCAATCTCATATGTTCGTGATAGGCTGGTCTGTCTTAAATGCCATCCTCATTATAGTACATACTAATTTTTTATTGCTGCAAAATGGATGACCACAAATTTAGCAGCTTAAAACAAAAAGGTTTCTTTTCATTGCTTCTGTAGGTCAGCAGCCCAGGCCTGCGTGGAACTCTCCTCCAGGAGGAGGTATAGGTTGGTCCTATAGTCTCATCTGGAGTTGGGATCCCTTTCAGATTCAGCGATTTTTATCAGACCTAATTTCTTGCAAACCGAGGCCTGAGAGCTCTGTTTTTGTTCTAGCTGCTGCTCTTAATTCTTACAGACTAATCCTTTCGCATATGACTCTTGGGTAGTCTTCAACAGAGACATGTTTGCTTTTTTCTAGGCCAGCCGGGTACTTACTTAAAAAAATACATATGTTTTTTAATTAGAGGGAATGTTAATAGGAACTTCTCCTTGGAGAAGGCAGGCAGATAAGCTCATAATTGGTGAATTTTGTTAGTCTTGGGCTGATGGTTCGGAAGAGATTGACTAATGGAGCATGGTCGTCCTGAATTGGGCCTAGTTGTCAGGACTGCCATTAGTGAAAGCTGCTGCCGCATCTTTCTTCATGAGAAAGCTCGTGATTTCCTCGGCTCCCCACCCACCCAGGAGCAGAGATGAGTCCTGCTCTGTGGAGTGAGAATATTATTCTTCCTTGGGCTTTCAGTCACCCCAGACCTTCAGTGCTATACCTCTGGGCCTGTATTGGATGGTCATGCTTCATTGACACATTGATTTTATGTTTATTTGTAAAAGGACAGAATATGAAATTACCAAAAAATATAATTTCAAGAGTTATTAATGAAAGACTATATTGCATTCACTTTTAATGAGATTCTGGTGTTGCAGAATGATTCCTTGTAATGACTTCCAGGAAATCAATGAAAAGTTTAATTACAGTTGTGACAGAGTTGTATGAGAATATTGCTTTGTTCAATTTTGCTTCTACAATTTGTCAACCCTCTCTGCCTTTCTCTTTTAAATTAATTGCTTTGATGAAGTAAGTAAATACATCCTGTGTTAGCTTTTGAACCTTTAGAAATGTATTGTTACAAATCTCAAGTTTCCCGTTCTCCAGTAGTAATAGTTGGTATTATAAGCTTATGCTTTACAGCTTTTGATGAGTACAGTTTACTGTTAGGTCATATTTCTGTTTTGTATATTTAATCATTGGGACATCTCTTTAAAACATTGGAAAAAACTGACAAAAGAAAATGGGAAAACTACTTTGTCACTTCGCTACTTAGCAGTACGTCCATTAGTCAGAAATCTAGTATGTATTCAGTGTTGCTTATCATCCAATCAAGCTGCGGGATGGATAAAGAAAGAGTAAGATACTTGCTCTTCTTTCGTGTCACTGTATAGCTTTTCAACTTCAAATAAAATGAATGTTATTCGTACCACATTTTTATTTTTGGTAGTTCAATGATAGCATTTTTTCTCCATTTGGATGGCAGTTGTCTTTCAAAAATTTATTTATACAGCACAACGTAGGAGCCGATCTGAAACATTTAGAAATGTCTACAGTACTTTTATTTTGGTAATTCTGCATTTTTACTGATTATATATTGAGAAAGTGATTGTGAATTTTCTCTTACTACAGGTCCAAAAGCAATGGAATTAAAACCTCCAAAACAAAACAAAAAGTAATTCTTTTCTGTTTATAAGATGATCATGTCAAGTACAGTTGTCACAGGTAAAGTGATGTTGAGATAACACAGGCAGTAATCTCTCCAGATATGAGTCATCCTGCAAACTACTGTTGAACTGAACCAAGAAGAGGAGCCTTCTGGGAGGGGAAGTCATATCACACCACAATGCCAGCTGCGATGCCAGTAATTGTTGCATCTCCCTGTTTTTCTTCCTGTGGCACTTCGTGTGACTGTCGCACGACCATGCCACCCCAGCCTCATGGTGCTTATCTCCGGGTGTTCTTCGTCCGTTTCTCTTCCTCTGTCTTTTCTCTCTAAAGACATGACATCAGCACGCATGCACGTCTCTCTCTGTGCTTGTGGCCCGTCAATAATCTCCCCTGTCCCTTAGGTTCTGCCACATCCTTGGCAAATGATTCCAGTTTTCTGCCTCACTTTCTGACTGTTTCTACCTCGATGTTTCATGGTTTCTCAGAAATAGCAACTTTCCAAGACTGACCAGTTTTGTTATCTGTTCCTTGATTATTTCTGCTAATGTTTTTAATTCTTCTACATGTCTTCTGAGTGTAGTACCTTGCTTTTTGTTGTTTTGTCTTCTGATCTCTCACAATTGGAATGATCCTCCTCTGCTGCTCTTACTCATGGTGAATTAACCGTACAGCCTCTGCTTCTCTGCAAGACTCTGCCCCTGTGAGTTGTGGTGCTTGTTGCCACCAGGCTGAACTTTGATTCTGGTCATTTTCTTAGATTAGTCTGTCAGGGACTCTGCTGACCACAAAGCAGTGTGCAAACTCCTCAGCTAGATATTGTAAATCCCATGGAGCTACGCTTCTTCCCCTTCCTCCAATAAATACAACTCTGTGCTTGGCAGAGTGGTGACGCTGCCTGACAGTTTAGCAGTGTGCTAGAAGGCAGAGCTGCTGCTGTGAGGAGCTAGCGTGTGATTTGTGTGTCAAAGACATACAAAGATGATGTGAGTAAGGTAGTAGTGGGCAATCACTTTAGGTGCATGATCAGGAAAGTTCTAATTTATTTCTTAGATGAAACCCGAAGGATAAGAGACAGAGGCGAGAACGGATTTTGCATGCTCAAAGAACAAAACAAGGCCTCCATGATTGGAGAACAGGGTGTGGGTGCAGGGGAGACGCGAGTTCACTTACAGGCAGCGTTGAGTGGTGGTTTTATTCCTGGTGTGATGTCGAGAGATTTTCTAAGCAATGAAACAGTGTCGTCTGTTTGTATTTTAAAAATACCTCTCTGAAGAGAAGCAGGGTGGCAGGGTGAAGCCAGGAGACCAGGCAAGAGGGGACAAGCCCTGGATCAGGATTTGTCAGCTCAGCATCCTTAGCGTTGCAGGCCAGAAATGTTTTTCTGTAGTTTGTGTCATACATAACAGAATGTTAAGAAGCATAGCGTGGTTTTCCCTGTTAGAAGACAGTGGCCCTGTCTCTCTCTAACTTTCTCCAGACATTGCCACAGGTCCTCTGGGAGGCAAAATCACATCCGATTAAGAGCCCCGGACTAGGCGGTGGCAGTAGGGATAGGTTTGAAACACAACACAGAGGTTGGACCATAGTATGTTCTAACGACCTGAATGTTGAAGTTGAAGCAGAAATGCTTTCTAGCCTTGTGATTTGTCTTCCACAAGTACTTTGTCAGTATGGTACTCTTGACACTCTTCTTCCCTGCCCTTGTGCCTGTTCTTAGATTACCTGTCTGCTTGTTACGTTGCTTGTTCTGCCATTCCCTTCCTTCCTTTCCACGCCCTGCTCAAGATCCCACTGCAGTGCCATCTAAAGCTTCCTCGGATTAGCGCACCAGTGCTGGACACTTTCCCATGAATTCCTTCTGCCTCACATTAATATCTCCTTTACACATTTTCTGGCCGTGTCAGCTTGTGTAAACCCAGGAGAGAAGTCGCAGTCTATCAAGCAGGAGTAGCCTTGGTGTGTGTTTGAATTGATGGCTTTGCTTCTGTATTTTCTCTTCCTCTGATTCCTATCAGTCACTGAGTAATTAGTGTCTCTCTCATCTGCCCCCAAGACCATCATCTGTGTTACCCTTGTCTGAAGTTTGTCACAGAATTAGGGCCCTTACTGTTTGCTGTTGTCTGTTATGTTTATTAATATGTATTTGTCATCTCCCTGTGGATCTACCCAAGAGTGAGAGTGAGACCTTGTACTTGTGTATCCCTTACAGTGTTTCCTCCTTAGATGTAGATGAGATCTGAGTTAGAGGAGGTGATCATGAACTTGATATTCAGTAAACATTGAATGAATGAATAAATGAGTGAATCTGGGAGACCCATTTTATTTTCTACTCACGAGTCTAATGCAATTAAAAGAAAAGTAACATTTTTCTGTAATACAAAATAACATGTAAGATTTTGATCACAATACAAGTGTGGATTGTTTTCAGTGAAAGATGAGCTTGTAGTTTGTGCCATGAATGTCACTGCTTGGTTCCTGAGGACGTGGGCTTCTCATCAGCGTGGCCTGGACGGCTGGGAATCGTGCCAGTAACGCTGTGTCGCTCTGTCTCTGTTGCAGCTCTGGTTGTGAGTACCACTTCGGCCGGGTTTGCGCTGGCTCCGGGGCCTTTTGACTGGCCCTGCTTCCTGCTCGCTTCCCTGGGAACAGGCCTTGCATCCTGTGCCGCCAACTCCATCAATCAGGTCAGTTTCTTCCTCAGATTACGCTGTTGGTACTTCTTAAAGCACGGCATGCCCCGTGGAGGTTTGTGAGCTGTGTAACGCATTTGTCTAAAAGTTTTGAAAAGAATGTTTTCTTTCTTTCTGTGTGTGTGATGGGGGTGACCCAGGGCCTTGCTATCTGGGCAGCAAGTCTTCTGCTGAGTGCACACCCAGCTCACAGGTGAATGATTTTCACACAGTTTCAAATGAATGAGCCGAATATAGACTACATATTTCAAGTGACCGAAAGTCTTGGGTTAAAAAGTATTTTAGAATTGCTAAACTTTGTACATGGTAGTATCTTTATTGCAGGTATATGTCCTGGAGTTCATGACTGTTATGTGCTTTTCTTTCTTGGTTTGATTTATTTACCTTTTAAACCAGAACTATACTAAAGAGCCAGACATTGTAATCCCGGCACTCAAGAGGCTGAGGCAGGAGGATTGCCTTGAGTTTGAGGCTTGCTTAAGCTACCGAGTGAGTTCAAGGTCAGCCTGATCTATGTAGTGAGAGCCAGCCCCTCTCCCAAAAAACAAAACAGAAAGTGCTTCAGAGGACATATTCAGCTTTTAAAAATCAGAAATGTAATACTTTGGTTAATTCGGTATATGGAACCAAATTACAATATATTAAAAAAGTCAATTAGTTTCTTTTGTGGGGGGCAGAGTCTCACTTTGTAGTTTAGGCTGGCCTTCAAATCTCAGTGATCTTCCTGCCTCAGCCTCCTGAGTGCACCACCATTCCGAACTAGCATATTACACTTAATGGACTCTTTTTTTTGTCTCTGTTATTTTAAATATTCAAATAAATGTCTCTTAGTTTTTTTATCTGCCTGATTAGTGTAGTATGCCCCAACATTTTGACTTTTCCATAAGATACATACTGAAAATATCTTGGCTAACAGTTAAGAAAAATTGTTTTCATCATCAGAACACCCAAGAGGAATTGGCACACTTTTTAAACAGGAATTCCTGTTACTATCAGCAAACAGCTTGGCTGAGTGACTGTGTACGTAGCTAGTCTGCAAAATAAGGGAATTTAATTGTCAAATTTGACAATACCTGAAATCATTCTGTTTTATAATGAATTATCAGCTAGGTAGAGAAGGCTTTATCTATTTCAAAAAGGGATTAAAATGTTTTGTGTGTGTGTGGATTAAACCCAACAGCTATTTGGAGAAGTTTCTGTTTCTAATACGGGCGTAAAAAAAGCTTATTTTTTTTTTTTGGTTGTACTAGGATTTGAATCTAGGGCCTTGTACATATTATGTAAGTACTCAACCACTGAACTACACCTCCATGCCCCTTTTGATTTTATTTTGAGACAGGCTGTTGCTAAGTTATTTTAAATGTCAAGTTAATCAGTTTTATAAGGAGATTCAAATAGCCCCACCAGTTATGGAACTTAGGAAAAACTCATTTGTTTGGCTATTTTTTGCCCGTTTTTTGACTTTTAAAATTTAAATTATTGCCCTTGTTCAGGTACAGATCTGGATCAGGAGACTAAGCAGGGCATATTTAATTTTCAGTGTCTTTTTCTAAATGTATGAGCTGCATTTATCCTTGATGTACGAATTGCTATCTCCTATTTAAATTACCTAGGTTCAAAAAATATTTAAAACAAAAATGTGGAGTTTCAGGGAGATGAAAAACAACTGCAAAGACTCAAATGTTTTAGAAACTCCAAACATAAATAATACGATTGCCTTGAATTGGTGTTACACTTACTTATCCCTACCTACCCAAATGACCAAGTAGCTCAAGAATTTCTCATGAAGAAAATTGTTCAGTTATAGCAAGAATGTATCTAAGGGGGAAAAAACCCAGACATTTACATGTAGGTAGAGATTGATAGGAACTAAACCTAGTGCAAGGTTTTAGAAATTTTGAAGGGCCATGCATCTAGATGCCTGCTTAAGTTCTAAAATTTGAAAGGCTAACGAAAGCCTCGGAATACCTGATGGGTTCTTTTTAGTATCAAAAATTGTGCTACTGCTATCTCCTTCAGAGTCTGTGTTCTGGCTCTGCTTAGCACCCCTTGGACAGCTCTCCGGTTGTCCCTCTGGGGCCCTCTGTCACCTTCTTTCTTCCTGCGTCGCTCATCCCCACAGCACTGTGAATGTTGTGAAGTCGGCTTACAAGCCACTCCTGTCGCACAAATGAATTCCATCGTCTTCTGATAGCCATCAGATTCCACCCACTCGTCTTGGGTTCTCATTTCACAGTAGGAAGCATCACAGGACTCACAGAAGTGTCCCAACATAGTAGAATTCCAGTTTCATTGATAAGATGCTGTCTTAGCCACTTTCTCATTGCTGGGAGAAAGTACCTGACACCCATAACTTAAAGGAGGCAAGGGTTGTTTAAGATCATAGTTTCAGCTGGGCGTGGTGGCTCACACCTGTAATCCCAGCACTCGGGAGGCTGGGGCAGGAGGATCCTTGCGGTTCAAGACCAGCCTGGGCTATAAAGTGAGGTCAAAGCCAACCTGAACTGCATAGAGACGTCGTAAAAAGACAAAAAAAAAAAAAAAAAAAAAAAAAATCACAGTTTCAGTAGATCGAGTCCGTGCTAATCCAGCTTCAAAGCAAAAATGATGTATTAGAGGGACATGGCGGACAAAAATCTACTTCCTTCATGGCAACTCAGAAGCCAAAAGTGAAGAGAGGCGCTAAAAAGGGAGAGGCGCCCTTCTAGGTCACACCCTGTGACCTACCGCTAACAGGGTCCCACCTCCTAACAAGAAATCAGGTCAGCCGTGATCCAGCTCTGACCTGTGAGGGCACTGGAGGGCTTCTAGATCTAAACCATAACAGGTACTACTAGCTCCCCTTGTTATCTTTTGTCAACTATATTAAAAGTAATTTAATTCCAGTAATAATAGGCATTCTCATAAATTTAAAATAACTTAAGACCATTTAAAATTAGGGAGAAGTGCATAGAACAGCAAGCAGTAGTGATTTACATACGTTTTTCATTATGTTTTTATTTTATGAAAAGATAAGAAAATAACAGTAGGTAAATACACTGTATCATCATCTTCAACATAGTTACTCAAGAGTACAAGACATTGACTAAATTTGTGAATAGCAGTTAAAGAAACAGTTTGTATCAAAAAAAAAAAAAAAATTCATGGCTTTTCCCACAGAGCTCTTGGGTATCCAGTGGTTGATCTGTGTAAAAGTCCTTCAGCTTCTTTCTAGTAGAGTTCTGAGTGAAAACATTTCCTTCTGTTCAGCTCTATAAAAAGATTCAAATGGCGTTATATATATTTTATGTACTTTTTTGAGCTGTTATTAATTTACTGAACCTTTCTTCTTTGTATCCAAGTACTGTGATCTCTCCTGTAAAAGCAGAAAGAATAAAGCCTTGGAAGGCAATTCTTACATTTGTTTTAAGGAGAGAAAATGAGATGCAGCTTCTGATTTACAAAGTAATGACCAGGGCATAAAGAGATACATATAAGAAACCACTAGCATTGAAATGTAGAAATAAATTACATACATGTTTTGTAATATATATACATGTTTTATTTGAAGCCATAGAGTAGTTTAAAGACAAGTATGGCTTCAAGGATGAAAGCGATCCATAAAATGTTTTTAATTTAGCAACTGAGAGATAAAATGTTATGGATGGCTTTGACTGCTCAGTGCTTGAGAAAAAGTGACAAACCGAATACCAGAATAAGTTCAAGTGGAATAAATGAAGAATTTTATAAAGATGAAAATTATCAGCATATTATAAAAATTGAGTATTTGACGTAGTAGACTATGTAGCTCTTAACTATAACTACAGGTATTTTACTTAGGTTAATTATATAGTAGTCTCCTCACCAACACCCAAGTTTCACTTCCGTGTTTCAGTTACCCATGATCAGTTACAGCCCAAAAATAGTAAATGGAAAATTCCAGAAATAAAAATTTCATTGGTTTTAAGTAATTCTTATTATAGTGTATTGTCAGGATCATTTACAGTATATACTTGGGATCAATAATTATTATCGCTCTTAATTTTTTACTGTGCCTAGTTTATAAATTTTTATCATAGATACATATATATAGGAAAAATATGTAATATAGGGTTTGTATATTATGTACTCTGTATAGCGATTTTTAGTTGTCTGCTGGGAATCTTCAAACATAATGCTTTGGGGATAAAGATATAAAAAAAGGGAATAATAGTTAATACACTATGGACTGTTATTGTCAAAGTAGTTATTAGAGTACAGAACACAAAACAAAAAGTTTTATAAAATAGAAACATAATGCCACAAATCTTTCTTTCAGTGAGCTAAAGGAACGGACACATACATTTGTCATTACGTACATTTCTGTGGTATAAATTGCAGAGATAACATGCTGTTTCATTCTGTGGCTGTGCCTCAGTTTTCTCAACAGATTTTCTGTTGTTTTAACTTTGTGCTTCTGTAACTGCATCTGTTCCTGGTTGATGTTTTGAAGACAAAGACTTGGAATGAAATTGCTGGGAGGAGGACTCCCTGCCACAGCACACAGGAAGCTGGTGTAACTTTGGAGAATGCGATCTTAACAAAATACTTAATTTTTTATATTCATACAGTGCAGTAGAGTTTACAGCACATATTTACACAAATTATTCTTTAAAGTTTACAACCCTGTGACACAGGCGACATTATTTCTGTTTGTAAAACTTATTTTTTGCCATTGAATTTTTTAAAGACTCATTATGCAAATACTGTTTTCATTCCAAAGCAGTGAGAAAATATAGCTAAGCACAAAGAGTATTAGTTTTTACTTTACTTTTCTTTTCTGTCACATATCTTATGTTAGAATTATAGCAGAGAAAAAAGAAAAATCTCTGCCATTTAGATAGATCTACTTAAGATCTTATAGAGTTTTCACACACATTTTGAAATGTATAAATTCACATATAAATTTATCACAGAAGTGATTCATGTAATGTTTGTAGTTGTATATGTTTGTTCACTTAAAAATATGTCCTGGT